CAATCATTGGTAGTTTGCTTTGTCATCTCAATCCTCAATTGATTGGGCTGTAGAAATATTGCAATTTGATTTAGAGTTCAAGCGAATAAAATGGCTGTCAAGTTATTAGCCCCTTTTCAAAATATCTTAATAGTTTGTGAAAAGGAACTTCGTCAAGGCTTTATTAGTTATTAATCAAGATACTTTAATGTCTCGTATTCGCACTCAATCTAATTTTTGCAGCTGTTCCTTTTTTTTTTTCCAAATCTTGGCTTGATACCGAACCTTTCCTCAAGTTTTAAGAGTTGGTAGACTTTAGTTGGTAGACTTTATATATGGTAGACTTTACAAAGCCCAGCTTGGATTTAAGTCAGGGCTTCATTACTCTGTGATCTTGGGCATATTTTAGCTTCTCTGACAGCCCTTATCTTACCTGGGATAATAATGGTACCCAACTCAGGGCTTCATTACTCTGTGATCTTGGGCATATTTTAGCTTCTCTGACAGCCCTTATCTTACCTGGGATAATAATGGTACCCACCTCAGGGGGTTATTATGAGGATTAAATAAGTTGTTGGCATATAGTAATACAAATTTTTTAAACTTACTGTTTGCTATTATCTGTAAAATGGATAGAATGGTTACTCTAGCAAGGTAAATGCATATAAGTGATTTAAAGTTTTTTTCCTCTTCCAAATCACCAAATAAGAAATCACTTTAACAGTGTAGCTGAGTAGAAGCCAATATAAATGCTTTATCATCTTACTTTGAAGTTTGCCAGAAAGTTAAATACTCTGAGATAAATATTACACTAAAAACCCAGAAATAAGCACTTTGGTATTGAGGTAATATAACTTACCAAAAGAATTTATATTTTTCTCTTATTTTTGATATTTCCATGTCCAAGTTTAACCTCTAAATTTAGAGCTTTGCAGCTATGGCTACAAATATAAAATAAAATGGAGAATTAAAACAAATTATCATTATTCAGTCACAAACCACTCCTTCTTCAAACAGCCTCGTAACACTGTCAAGCTGAAATTATGCAGCAACATTTTGTCTTCATTAGAGCAGTCCTGCAGTCTGAGGGAGACAGACTTAGAGATGTTACAACTCCTAGAGTCCTAATTACTAGTTTAAAAGTTTGACACACTTTGAACTGCATACTTAGTAGACTGAGTTTAAGATGTAGCTTCTGAAAGAAAGATGGTTTTATTTCATTAGGAATGGATTGGAAAAGCTATATTGATGAGAGCTTTCTTTTGCTTTAAATAAATTTTGGAACAAGAGGTGGATAGTCAATAAAGGGCAGAATCTTCTATATCTAATATGCAGTCAACTTCAAAATTAGCATTTTCCCTGAGACACTGCCATTTAGTTGTCAACACTAATGAATAAGATTTAGGAGATTTTTATAGTAATCTGAGGTGGAAAGGTGTAGCTGGCTAGGTACTACCGAAAATATTTCCCTCAACAATATAGCTATTATGCTTCTGATTTTCCCAAGAGCCTTATAACTATGACATGTGCAAACTAACAGAACAAATGGTATCTGCTAACTCCATCATAAAAATACTTGAAACTTGCCACTTTTACGATTGCCTAGAAATCTGCCATTATCACCCAAACTCTCTAGGATCTATAAGGGATCAGTAACAAACAATTAAATTTTTTTTTCCAACTTAAATAAAACTAATCTCCCTTGTGACGCCAATTACCCCTAGGAAAATATGCTCAAGTTTGAATAAGCATTCACTATAAATCTCAGAAAAAAAAAGTAGATATGGTTTAGAAATATATTAAAAGTTGCATATGGCTTATCAAAAAGTACAATAACATTAAAACCACAGGCCTCTAAAGTTTAAAAGTAAGTTTTCTGTTGAAGTTGCAGACATTTTGAATTCCACATACTTCAAACCTTTGAGAGCTATGTATCCTTACGATTTGTGCACTTTTCTGGTAGTCTGTAAATCAACAGAATTTATCAGCAAACACAACAGAAATATCTGGAACAGCCAAGGACATCCAATGATTTATTAGCAAGTTGTGATTTTTCTGGTAAGTCAAATAATTTAAGACTAGAAATCTAAAGATGTAGGTAATGAGAAAACATAATGATCTTTTAGTTTTTAAAAATTTACCTTCGGGAAAAAACCTAAATTCTTATAATTTTTTTTCTCTTCGTAGTTCAAGTACACTTATGAGACTGATGGCATTACAGTGGTACAAGTATGGACTACTGAAGAATCTGAAGTACTGTACTATTTGGCTTTATTTTAGACCTCTAATAAAGACTTTAACATGTTGAAAAAAGCACAAGGCACAGAGATTAGCGTAGCTGTAAGAACATTTCTACTTTATGCCATGGCACTAGGCGTGTAAGTCAGAGGTCATATCAAAATTTGTACAGGCCAAATTCTTGGTTAGGAAAATCCTACGTATAGTGACTCTAATGGTTGAAAGATGTTTCATTATATTTTCAATTATCTACTACTAACAAACTTTAGACGTTTTATATGACTCTTTTGATACTATAGCCTTTGGGAAAGGTATGGCTAATAAAAAGTCAATTTTTTAAAGAAAAGTTAAAATTGTTGTTAGTTTTTTTCTTTGCTAAATATTTAATTAAACACATGGAAGTGAGATACCCCCTTTGCTCTTTCTCCCTTTTTATGCACAGAACAGAAGCACACATTGTCATGCCTCAAACTACTTTTTATTTGCAACTACATGATTTCACGCAATTCTTCTAAACAATGACATAAAATAGATTTCCTTGTGTATAAATAACTTACATACTCTCCATAAAGTAAATGCTCAAAGGTGCTAGAACAGATCGTCCACTCCTACAGTGTTCTCATATCCAACAGAGTTGATGCACAATATATAAATACTCAAGTCCAATATTAAAAACTCAGGCACTTGACTAACTTTAATAAAGTTTCTCAAACTATATCAATATATCTAAAGTGCATATATATATTTTTAAGAAAGATTATTCTCAATAACTTCTCTATAAAAATAAGTTTGATGGTTTAGCCCAACTAACTTTACTACTTTGAGTATGAACTTTTAATATGCAGTCAGGCTTATTCTACCTTCTCTCAACATGACACCAACAGAATCAAAGCAGCTAGTGAGGTGCTAACATGTGAGGATTAATCCAGTGATTCCGGTCACAATGCATTCCAGGAGGAGGTACCCATGTTACTGGAATTGGGCGATATGGTTTATTCTTCCTTCCCTGATTTGGATAACCAAATGGAACAGGAGGAGGGTAGTGACTTTGATGACCATTCCCTCGGTACATTCCTGGTTTTTTTCTGGGTAAAGGGTGCCACATTGGAAGAGGTGGGAATATCACCTCTGAAATCTGTAAAGAGAAAACAGTAAGTTAATAAAAAGAAAAAATTAGTCATGTGTTATATAAAAACTAGGTGACCTTCCAGATTACTCATTAAAAAAAAACAAAATCACTCACCCACAACCCTAAGAGTAGGTCTAAGGCACATTCCTACAACCAAGTCTAAATATGTTAAAAACCTCAAATATAATAGGTGATCAATCAGCATTTTTTTCACTAAATGAGTGAAAATGAATAAACTCAAACACAGCACTCTAAAGTAACCGGATATTTTCTGGCTATTTCAACCAAAGAAGACGAAAACACAGAATGAATAGAAGCTTGTAAGGACGCATCATGTTTTAGACCACTGGTTTCCACAGCTGGCTAAAGAGTCACCTAAGAAGCTTTTAAACACAAAATGTTCATGCCCCAGCCCTGGTCTACTGAACAATATTAACAAAACTTTAGGAAGAAAGGCCAACTATTTTGATGACACTGCAGGTGACTCTAATGTAGCCAGTTCAGCATTTTGGAAAACAGTCTTAGATTATCCCATAAGTCAAGTGGGACATCAAGTTCACATCATTAAAATGTTATCAGCAGTTTCAGACCTCTCTGCTCAGAATGCCACACCCTGTGACTATGAGTTTCAGAGTTCTCTGATTTCTAATCTGCTCTTCCTAGCATAGGCATTTAAAAATTTATATTCTGTGTAACAGCACTGCATTCATGATAGAAAATTCAAAAGGTACAAAATTGTTACAGTGGAAAAAAGTCTCTTCTTTATGTGATTACCAGCCACCCTCTCAGAGGCAGCTGACACTAAATCAATTGTTTGATCATCTTTAGAGATATTCTATGAATATACTTGTGTATACATCTATATACTACACATTTATAAAAACAAAATTCTGTATACTGCTTTTTGCACTTGATAAATACATCTCAGAGACATTCATCTCAGTACATAATGACTTTTTTTTTTGTCATTTTACAGCTAGACAGTAATGCAATGACTGCCATAACTAAATTAACTGGTGTCTTGTTGATAGTACATTTAGGCTGCTTTCAGTCTTTTAATATCAAAAAAACAATGCACAAAAGCAAATGAAACAATGCAGCAGTGAATAACCTTAGCACAGTTAATTCTTGATTATCTACAATAACGGGGAAATAAAGAATTTAGAGTTCAAACTAATTGACTATACTACAAACCAGTAGCAAAGTGAAATGTTTTCATTTCTTTGTACCTTGGGGTGTTGATAAGCTTTTAAAACTGTCAGAAAGCAGACAATCCCACAGGCAACCACTGTTCTGATTTTTATCACCAGACTGAGTTTTCCCTGTTTGTGAACTTAATATAAATGGAATCATGTGGCATATATTCTTTTGTATCTGGCAAATTTTTTTTTTTTGGCCACACCTCCTGGCTTGTGGGATCTTAGTTCCCCAATCAAGCATCAAACCCGTGCCCTCCGCAGTGAAAGAGGGGAGTCCTAATCACTGGACCACCAGGAAATCCCCCGTTAAAATTCTTTTGCTCAATCAGATGTTTTTTAGGTCCTTCCGTATTGTGTCTATTATTAGTTCTTTCTGTTTTATTGCTATTATCCTACTGTGTGAATGAATACAGTTTCCTCCCATTCACTTGTTAATGGGTATTTGGGTTGTTTTCCTTTTTATAATTAAACGATTATGAAAAAAGCTGTTATAAACATTCTAATATGAGGCTTTGTAGATATTTGTTTTCTTCATTTCTCTTGTTAAATACTTAGGAGTGGAACTGTTGGGTTATAGGGCAGATGCATATTTAACTTTGTAAGTGCCAGTTTTCCAAAGTGGTTATACCATTTTACACTCCCATCAACAGTTTATGAATCCAACTGCTTCACATCCTTGCCAACATTTGGTATTGTCAGACATTTTAATTTTAGCCATTCTGGAAGTAGTGTTTCACTGCAGTTTATATTTGAATTTTCCTGATGACAAATAAGGTTGAGCACCTTTTTCATTTGCTTACTGGCCATTTATATAACTTCTTTTGTACAGTGTTTATTCTCATCTTTTGCCCACTGTTTTTAATTGCATATCTTTTATTATTGATTTACAGGAGTGATTTTTAAAGTATATTCTGGAAACAAGTCCTTTGAAAAATATATGTATTGAGAATATTTTGTCCCAGTCTATGCTTTTGCCTATTCGTTTTCTTAATGGTTTCTTTTTATTTATTTATTTATTTTTATTTATTATTAGGCTGCACTGGGTCTTCATTGCTGTGCGTGGGCTTTCTCTAGTTGCAAGGAGCAGGGGCTACTCTTTGTTGCAGTGCACGGGCTTCTCATTGCAGTGGGTTCTCTTGTTGCAGAGCATGGGCTCTAGGCACAAGGGCTTCAGCAGCTGTGGCTTGCGGGCTCTAGAGCACAGTCTCAGTATTTGTGGCGCATAGACTTAGTGGCTCTGCGGCATGTGAGACCTTCCCAGACCAGGGGTCGAACCCATGTCCCCTGCATTGGCAGGTGGATTCTTAACCACTGTGCCACCAAGGAAGTCCCTCAAATTAGTTTTCTAATGTATGGTATCAGGTAGCAGTTCGGTTCACTTTTTTTTTTTTAATATACAGATTATCCAATTGTTCCAGTACTAGTTCTTGTATACTTACCCTACTGAATTGCTTTGGCACTTTTATTTAAAAAAAAACAAAAAATTGTACATATATGGGTCTACTTCTGGACTCTCTATCTGTTCCAATAATATATTTATATATCTTTAAATCATTATCACACTATCTTGATAAACATAATGACTTAATATTAGTGTGAGATCTCTGAGTTGATTCTCCTTTCTTTAAATTTTATCTAGAAAAAGCCTTTTGGGATTTTGATTGATAGCAAGTTGAAACTACAGATCAATTTCGGGAGAAATAACATAATCTTCATTCTTGATTAGTAGAGAATTATCTCTGGAGGTTCCTTTCAGAAAACACAGACCCCCCTCAGAGAACAAAGCTCGGAATTATTTTGCCCATACTTTGAAAACCTCTTTTTTAAGGCTCTTGCTAATGCCAGGTTCAAGATGGAAAAATGTATAGGTAAAAAAGATTAAAGTGGACCATCTGCACCAGCTTTCTACACAATGATTTTAAGAGCTATGCTTCTCAGTCATGAAATGTTTTGTAAGTGAATATAATGTCAAGGAGAAAAGCACAGTTCAATTTCTATGTCTTTCTGTTATAATTTTATCCTAATAGTCTTTCAACATAGGGGAAAACAAATACAATTTAATTTTAAAAGAAAATCTAAAAATTAAAGGTCAATTTACTTGAAAAAATTAGCAGCAATCACTTCAATTTGGAATTTACATTCTTGCTTTGCTGCGTAACAAAAAAAATTCTTGAGGTAAAATTAGCACACACCTGAATGAATTCCAGGCAATTTAACAACGGTAATCTGTAGTACATAATACATCATACAGAGGAAAAAAATGTCCAAAATATTTATGGCCATGGTCTTAAAAATGATCCCTGAATTACAAATATTATGTTTACTTACCTATATAGGGAATCTCTTGGGAAGAATACCAAAATAACTGGTAATGAAAACCTCCATGCAAGGGCACAAGACTGGCCATTGTGGGAAGAGGAGGACATGTCACTACTATACTCTTTTTTTTTTTTTTTAATAAATAAATGTATTTATTTATTTATGGCTCTGTTGGGTCTTTGTTGCTGTGTGTGGGCTTTCTCTAGTTGCGGTGAGTGGGGGCTACTCTTCATTGTGGTGCGTGGGCTTGTCATTGCAGTGGCTTCTCTTGTTGCGGAGTATGGGCTCAAGGTGTGCAGGCTTCAGTAGTTGTGGCACGTGGGGTCAGTATTTGTGGCTTGCGGGCTCTAGACTGCAGGCTCAGTAGTTGTGGCACATGGGCTTAGTTGCTCCACGGCATGTGGGATCTTCCCAGACCAGGGCTCGACCCAGTGTCCCCAGCATTGGCAGGTGGATTCTTAACCATTGTGCTACCAGGGAAGCCCCTATACTCTTTCATACTGTTTCAAGTTTTTGTTTTGGTTTGTATTTTTTTTAAAGCAAGTGCATATGTTATAATATACACATATACATATACCCCTAAGAATGTGATAATCTTCAAAACTAAGCTTCCTCTCAAGCCTAGGAAGGATAATTCAACAATTAAAAAAAAAAATTAGGGCTTCCCTGGTGGCGCAGTGGTTGAGAGTCCACCTGCCGATGCAGGGGACGCGGGTTCGTGGCCCGGTCTGGGAAGATCCCACATGCCGCGGAGCGGCTGGGCCCATGAGCCATGGCCGCTG